GTAGAGTGCAAACAATTAATCCGTGAAACACTAATTACTAAATAGTACAAAATAGTGCTAATTAAACAATAGAAAACAATAGAATTTGCATAAAATTGTGCTATTTAGTATCACTAAGGTTTCACGGTTATATTGTATGAACTCTACTGTAACTGTTGAGTCTAAATATTAAATTTTGTTGGTTGTTAGGAGTATCTTTGTCCACTGTAGTAAAGCCATGGGGTGTACCACAAGCTCCTTTAAAGTATTAACTGTGAATATTAGGAAGATGGTGGGCTTGTTGTTGATTTGTCTGAAGAGCCAGTTCCAGTGGTTGAGAGAACCCAAACTAAAAAAGAACATCAAATATGAGCAAATTATTGCATTAGGGACCATTAAGGCTACGTTCATAATGTATGACAGGGGGGGGGGGGGTAGGTGAAATTGAGGGGGGATCATGTCATGACAATTTTTAACCAAGAAGACGAGTAGAGCACCCTGAAAGTGTGTTTTCGTACTACTGTACTATGTTCCTGCTACATGTCCCTGAATATTTGTCCCTAAATCATGTCACTGCTGCTTTATGTTTCTGTATCTTTATGTCCTGTAATCATGGCCCTGCTGTTTAATAGGCCCCTACATATTTTGTCCCTATAAATCATGTCCCTGCATAACTAGTGCTTCATGTCCCTATGTCTTTTTGTGCCTGAAACTTAATTTTCCCAGCTGCCATATTAAACCTTTAAATTTTTTCATGTGTTATTTTCTTGTAGTTTTCTGTTGCCATGGTTTCCCTGGGTTCCTTGGGCGGCAGTGGGTACCAATGATTGGCTAGTCGGTATCCATCTGATTGTATCTCTTTGTTTTTATGATGCTCTTTTTACATTTGGTAAGTAAGAACTGAACTGAACTCGTGTCCAATCAGTATCAAGTAATAATTATTTTGCTGAGTGTTTATAARGAAAGAAATTGGGATGGGCTACCTGTGGAATAATCTTTTGCACATTGCACAATTTAAAAAACTAGGTTTTTTTTTCATAGTCCTGTTAGCACATTGTGCACTGTTTGCAGAGTTATCAAAGAATATGGAGGATAGACATATTGTCTTACGATACAGGTAAAGCATTGGATTTTTCAATCTTTAAGATACTTTAAGCATTTCAAAGTTCATTTACCATGTTGTACAGCCTTGAATTCCAAGGCACTTATTAAGGCTGTATTCTTTTAATACTGTGGCAACATACCATGATGTACATAACTGTTTAATTCAATGGGACTATTCACTTATATGTAATATTAGGAAATCATGTGACAGGGAAGCACGGGTGGTGCAGCRGTGAGAGCGCTCACCTCTCACCAATGTGACCCAGGTTTGAGACCTGCTAAGCTCAGTGTCATATGTGAGTAGAGTTGGTTCTCTCCTGTGCTTCGAGGGTTTTCYGGGTTCCCTGGCTTTCCTCCCTCCGCAAAAATCAACTCCTGAATTCCAATTGGAATTTCAGTGGATGAAGAGCTACTCTGTAGAAATGCCACTGCTAAATCCCATTATTTATTTATTATTTATTTATTTATTATTAGAGTATTTTCCAAACATGTGCAGTAATTACCTGTGTATGTATATTTTTCTCGTTCAGTCAGGTGGCATCMATGTTTAGTCCTATTGGCCTGTTTATATGTATTCTTGTTTTTCACCATGAGGTAAATATATATACACTCAATTGAAGAATCGTTGTCGGGTTCAGAAACATAAAACATAGAAGCTGAGACCGAAATGGCACATGGGAAGTAYGTTAATTAGATGCATGCTGTGACCGGCGACCTGTGGCATCATCCACTGTTTTTAATATGCGTGTGGCATTCTAAACCGACTGCATGGATGGCGCAAATGAATAAATTATAATATAATTATGTCATTTCCCATGTGCCATTTTGGTCTCAGCTTCTATGTTCTATGTTTCTGAAGCCGACAACGATTCTTCAATTGAGTGTATACAATATACATGTACCACTTATGTTGGATAGCATTGTGGTGTATGAATTAGCAAAGTGTGTCATAGGTTTCCGRACACACAAGTRRGACTTCCTCACCTAGGAAAAAAGGTTAATARCAGGCAAGATTGAAACTAGGCACCCGTGGCACCAAATGATATTACAATACCTATCCCAACCCTAACCCTAAACCTAATTACCACTTAGCCCCAAAGTGAATTCGCTGGGATGCTTTCCAATTTTTGTCATATTTCAGGCAATGGCTAGTATTATATTTAATAGATAATTWCTGAGGCACGCAGCATTCGTAGGTATAATGCAGGCAGCTGAGGGCGTAGCCCAAAGCTGCCTGCATTATACCTACGAATGCTGCATGCCGAAGTAATTATCTAGTATAATTATTGTTCTTATCAAAATCCAATTGTTTTCTTTCTAGCTTGTTTATCATAGAAACAAAGCCAATAATGAATGAACTAAATATGTCTGATTTTCCTCTATGCATTCGTTKGGATAATGCAGACTGAAAACAATGGATTTTGATAAGATCAGTAATTATATGCTATTGTAGGATACCACTTACTAGCTGAATAAATTTGCATATCAGAATTTGAATTTGAATRGAATCCCCCTGAAAATTCCCATACACCATGATACTACCTGGCATTGATTTAGTTTTATTATTTAGTAATTATACCTTTATCTGATATAATATTACTTCACTGTTCTGTTGTTCACAGCAAGAAAACTTTGTGTACTTCCAAGTAGTCTGTATAGTAGTTGCTATAATTAGCTGGCTGTGTATATCCTACACGGGAAGAAACATCCAGATAGTTCAGGATGTTAGTAAACACCCTAATGAAGGTACTGTCAACACTTTCATCATCATTCAGATGATAATTTATGTTTTTTTTTAAAAGGAGACTGGTAATTATAATGAATGCAACTTACAAGGAATTATGGGAAGGATCTSGTCATTTAGTTCAGCCCCAGAAATCCTTGCAGGATGCATTAGTTACCAGGCTCCTGAGATTTACACCTAAGGAGATTCTAAACACGAAAGGTTTTAGGTAAAAGGTGATTTGCATTATGCCGTAAAAGGTTTCAAATGATAGTTAATATTTTCTCTCATAATTTGCTTCACCGTGACATCATTTTACTAAAAAATAACCCAAATGCTATATGACGATATGAGTTTTGTCTAAATATGTCTGCTAATTACCTCAAAAGAAAGTGTAATAATGAATTTTGTCAGTTTTAACAGATGATGTGTAATATAATATAAATGGAATATTATTTCATATTTTGTACTTCACAGGAAAAAAACGGATTCCCAAATTGGGAATTGTTGGGAATTTCCTTGAATTCCCAATTCAAACACCAACGTTGGGATTTATTGTTGGGAATTTCCTTCTAATACCCAATAGAAAAACAAAATTCCCAACAAACTAACATTGGGAATCAGTGCCACGTTCCCAATTTCGTTCTCTCTGGGAATTGGATGGGAATTCGATGGGAATTCAAGGATTCCCAATTCAATTCCCACCAAATTCCCAGTTTTTTCCTGTGAGCTTTATTTAATCCTCACATTTTTTAAAATACTAGAATCCAAGTGCTCAACAGAAGTCATACCTCCATGGACCTTGCTAAAACAGCTTATATCTCAGAAAAACTTAGGTAGGCAAAATGTTATGAGCGGTTTTATARGTTGAAATTATTCATCATAGAGCTGGTGTGGACAACAAACCCATAAAAAAACACTAAGTAACTAGTATTAAATAACACACATATGATTTTAAAAGAATTATAGAAAACCAAGAATTCTGCTCTCTTTACTACTATTGTTTCTTAATACTTTTTCACTGAGTTATTAGAAAAGTTTAAACTTGTTTTTTGTTGTACAGCACATATTCATAATGAATTCCTCACTATACATTCCATTCTAACTAATTTTTTTCTACTCCTTTTTTTCTTTTCAGTTTTCTTTGTGACAATGAATTTTTTTCAGGTAAGCATCACACCCTGGGGGTACTCTTGCCCGTTTAGGGTAGGGATGTGTCACTGAGCCAACTGAACCCTGACCCTGTTCCAGAGTAAAATCGCTGAAATTCATACCCTGTTCCAGAGCAAGATCTCTGAAAATCATACCCTGTTCTAGTATTGTTAAAATGGATACCCTGTTCCAGAGAGGAGAGAGCGTGATTTCATATACCCTGACCCAGAGCAGGCACGATTTTATAATATACCCTGTTTGAGAGTAGAATCGCTGAAAACCATACCCTATTTAGCGGCACGTACCCGTAGAGGGGAATATAGGGGAGTACCCCTCTCCCCCCCTAGGCATCACACTGCTTGACACAGGGAGCCCACTATGATAATAGCTATTGAGGGAAAAAAGAACAAATAAAACAAACAGTCCATTTTTATGAAAGTTTCTTATTTGGTTATTAATTCACTTGTATTTTGATTGTTGATCTTCAGGTCTTCCATTCAACATTTCARAGTAATTTTTTCCTGATATTTGCAGAATATTTGATAGGTCCTGATGTATTACCAGCAGTAAGTCATTCATTCTTTTTATTTACCTCCTTTGTTGTCTTCCTTTCTTTTTTCTTCCTTCCTCCTCCCTCACTCCATTTCTTCCTTCTTCTTCCCACCTTCCTTCCTTCCTTCCCTCCTCCTCTCCCCCACCCCTTGCTTCCTTCCCTCCTTCCCTCCTCCCCTCCTCCCCTCCATTTCTTCATTTTCCCCACCTTCCTTCCTTCCTTCCTTCCTCCTCTCCCCCTTCCTTGTTTCCCTCCTTCCCTCCCTCCCTCCATTTCTTCATTTTCACCACCTTCCTTCCTTCCCTCCCTTCTCCTCTCTTCCCCTTGCCTCTTTCCCTGCATTCTTATTTCTTCCCAACTTCCTTTCTTCCCTGCATTTATTCCTGCATTCCTCCATCTCTTCCTCCATCTCTTCCTCCCTCCGTCCTTCCCCTTCTTTGTCCTCTCTCTTTCTGCTTACCTTGTTCCACTCTTTACCAACCATCTCTATCATTGAGCAGCACTTCCTCTCTTCCTTTCTCTTTCTCTTCCTTATTTTTGTTACCAATCAACAAAGTGTGTATCAAATCCCAGAGACAGCTGCCTTAATTCACCTCTAAAACATGACCTATTATTCTTGTAGTTTGGTCTTAGTTTCATAGCTGGGTCATCCTACGTCGTTCCTCAGGTAGTACAGCTT